GACCCAATTTGTCACGTGACACTAACAAAAGGAAATCCCTGGATCGCTTAACTAGCCCAAGCGATCCCATTTGCTATAAGAGCGTTCAATAGTGCTTGACTTGTCAGGACGCCGCCTGGTCTTCACTTCTCACGTGATAACACGTGATTCGTGACACTAATTAAGTAAAATAACAACGAGTAATATAATTAGTAATAGTTATACTTTAATAAGGGTACTAACATTTACGTAAAACATACTCTCTACTAATATATACTATAGATAATATACTTATAGCTATATTATCCTACTATATTGTCACGATTACGAAATCGTCAGGTGACATTTGGGACCATGGGCCCAGACAGCACTTCGCTGACAGGAGAACCCATTGGTATTTAACCAAAAGAAAGGATCGGGTGGCTGCATCAGGCTAGCCAGACGATCCAAGGAATTTCTCAGCGACCAGAAATCACGTGACTATATCGACTTGATCGAAATCGATAAAAGCGATGATCGATTTTATCGATAGCGATGGTAGCGATATATTGGAAACGAAGGTTCTATATAAGACTGGCACGTCTGCCATTAGATAGGAGCTTCGTGCTCAACTTAGTTATCAATCTTATCATATTAGTTTGACATCTTTGATACAAGTAACGAGTTCACTTCCAAGTGAACAACCCGATAGTCTTCTTCTTATCATAGCATACCAACCAGCGAACACCCAGCCAAGTTTAGTTAGTCAGTTTGAGTATTCGTTACATATATATATACTAAGACTCCTAGGTATCTAGGCACAACCTTTACTTTTAAATCTCCTTACTTCTTTTTAGTAGGAAGTTTTTAATTAACTAGGCTCGCTTTAATAGTAGCTTTACCTTTTATACTAAACTATATCGAAAACAAAGGCTTAGTAATATATATTCGATAGGTTCTTACTACTCTAATCCGAAGTTTTACGCGTAATTTATTAAATAATTCGAGTAAGAAGTAATTATCTATATAAATTATAAACTATCGAGTTTTATATAGTAGGGGTTTAGCGAGCTAGTATACCGTGGACTCTATAATTATTAGCGGGGATAATAAGTATAAATACTATTAAAATACCTATAGGAGTAAGGCCTTATTATAGCTAAATCTTAGTAGTTTTCTACTTCCTAGAACTATATAAAAAGTCCTACGTATAGCCTAAAAAATATATAGTCTATATCTTATACTAGATAGTATTATTAGATTATCTAGAAAACCCTATAATTATTTTATTAATCATTATATCTTATAGTAGTATAATATACTACTTCAAAGTAGCTTATAGATACTAGAATAGTAGTAATAACTTTATATACTAATAGTAGTCTTTTATGTTAGTAGAAAGGTAAGAAATATAGAGATATTATCGAATATTCTTATACTAACTCTCTAATATATAATTTATTAGTAGATAATTAGGATCCTCCTATCTAATATATAGTTCTTTTATTAAATAGATACTAAAATATATTATAATCGTAAGGAATATAAGGAGCTCTTCTAAATTAATATTTCTCTAATACTACCCTACGTACTCTATTCTAATTATATAACCTCTTTATCTCCCTTATTACTTTTTAGCTATATTTATATTTATATTTATAATCATTATTTTAAGAATTACTTATATGAAAAATAGTATAAAAAACTTAAGTAGAGTCTTTATAAACCTAGGGAGAGAGAGGACTATAGGACGACCTAGGTTATCTTATAGGAGAGGATTAAAACGAGCGTAAGATACTCTTTAGATAATCTTATCGTTTATACTAAAAAGATCCTTATCCTAAGGCCTAAATAGAGTATATATATACTTCGAGTTATCTTATAAATAAAAGCTTAAATCTACTATTATAGTATCCTAAGCCTTGTATTTAATCTTAGGGGAATAAGAGAAGGTATCGAATAGTTAATTATCGTTAATAATTTTCTCTTATTTAATATTATTATTACTAGGCTTGTTTTAGTACTTGTACTTATTAGGATTAGAGTTTTAATCGATTCTATTAAGGTTCGTTATATTAATAGGATACTAAGGGTACGAGGGGCCGATAAAATTGTTATAGCGTAGGCGTAGACGTATTAGAGTTAGTTCTTTATACAAAGGACTTTCGACAACCTTTCTACTACTCTTGTAGCGCTTTTTAAACTATATTAATAGATTATTTTTCCTTTATCCTATAAAAGGCATATTAAATATAAGAAAGAAGTAGAAGTAGAAGTAGTAGTAGGAGTAGTAGTAGGAGTAGTAGTAGAAGTAGTAGTAAAAGTAGTAAGAGGAGTAGTAGTATGCTTATCCTTAGACAAATATTACTAAAATCATAGAATTACTAAACTAGCTAAAAATATTTGTTTAACGTATACTATTTCTTATAGAAGATCATAGATTTACAACGTTTTTAGGTGTGGTTTAACAAACAAATATAACTCGAGTCTTAATTACTACAGCTTTAGCTATACAGGTTCGAGACCTGACGTTGAGGCCAAGCCTTGGCGCTGAGTGATTTACGGACTAAGGGATATAGGGTGTCTATTAAATAGCCTCTCTGATCCTTGATTTCTAAGTTCTATTATCTTATCCTTTATCCTTTGAGGTTATTCGTACTCTGCTACGATATAGTACAAAGACTCACGATTTGCGCGTGTTGTACCTACTCTGTTCTAAAAAGCGGCGGTTTAGCCAAGAGGCCATTGAAGTCGCGGAGTGATCGATTGGAGGCCATTAAAGTCGTATAATCGCATATTTCTTGTAGAAAAAGTCTATGAAAACTCAAAGAATACACTACCTACGTCCCGAGGATTGAACTTACCTCGCCTGTTATGATAATTCCAACAAGGAGGTTGTACTTTATGTAAGAACCCTAGTAATGTTCTTGCTCTTGACTGTACCGCTTGGTAGTGCAGAACAACTTAGCTTAAAATAAGCGTTTATACAGAAAGATATATCGATAAAGTGTTTATTGTCATCCCTCTGCGTCATCCAGTACCGAAGGACCTCACACAACTCCCTTGTTTAGCTACAAAGTCCACTATAAGTTCAAGGTCTGACCATCCCACCCACACCATTTTGTATAAGTCTCTATTTGGAATTTCTTGTACATGAAATATTCCAGAACATTGTAGGTCTAAAAATAATACTGCTGTTTTCTGCATTTGCATAGTTTGCGGTCAATCCTTCCGAACCAGATGTAAAAGTAAATCGTGGTTCTCATTACTTGTTATTAACGCCGATCCAGGTGCCAGACAAAAGAGTTCAGGTATATGTTAAGTTTTGATTTGGAATTCATTTAGGAAGTCGAAACTGGTATATTGTTGACCATATTTCCGTATAAGCCGCATCATGGTTCTGTTCGTAGAATACGTTTCTTGCAGTGCTTCGCTTCTCAATTAGTCTGAGAAAGCCCATGGGTCAAAGTCCTCGTTACGCTCACTGACCTTCGTATAACTTCTAGTTCTTTGTATCAGACAATTCTATTATTCGCATTTTTGTTATCTCCCTTCCTGTATTTAACATTAATGCAGAGAAATATAAGGGCGCTTTACGGTTTTGCCGAAGTCAGGATGGGCAAAAATCCTTTCGATCAAACTACGATTTTTGACTGCCGAAAATTCGATGCTCGAACGCGAAACTGAACCCTAATTGAGGCCCAGCAGAGCAGAGTCCCAAGATATTGTGAAACACATCAGATAAAGACTCAATCGCTTCCGAGAAACCGTTTTGTTTGTTTTTTCGAACGCAACTTCTCTAGATCGCGAGAACTCCTCTTTGTTCCTTCGTTATCCGCCTAACTTATCCGGTTTTGTTAAGGTGTACTAATCGCGCTCTCGGTGTACACTTTAGATATGAGTAGACAGCGTTGGAGTCAGTAGCGTACTGTATTCTAGATCCTAGTCTTTCAATTATTAAGATAGGCTAGGATTTTATAATCTACGCCTATTAGTAGATAATATTAAGACTTTTAGCTTGGCATATCCAGCGAGCTACTAAGTCAAAAATACTAACCGGTCTAGTTAGAGCAGAGTAAAAGATCTTAAAGTAGAATTAAAAGAGAAAACAGTTAAGCGAAAGTATAGACGTACTATCCCTTCGTCGGTGTGTATGTACGTCTAGGATTCTAAGTTTACGATTGCCTATTTGAGCGGTCGGACCGGTCGGAATAATGCCTAGGCGCGCTACGGGGCTTGGCCCGACTTGTTCCGTACCAATTAAGTAGTAGTATTTTTGAGGACCAAGACTTATAGTGGGTATCTCAAACTTAAAATCCTAGACGTACATACACACCGACGAAGGGATAAATAAACAATCTTCTAATATTTCTGTTAAGAATAATATAAATTTACTGAATTGAAAAGAATTGAAGTTTTAGATTATTAAAAAGAGACTTTTTACTCAATGAAGAGTAGATTACTATTCTCATCTCTTTAAGTAAAAGGTTATTTCGTATAAAGTAAATATACGTTATAGTTTCTAGAGAAGGTATTGGCAATATAAAATCTAATTTTTACTAATTTAACTATACGTAATCGAGTTTATTTAATTAGCTAGAGTAAGCTTTACTAGGGCCTTTAAAATATATATACTTTATACGAAATAATCTTTACATATCTGTTTTACTTTTTAGTATGTTTTGAAACAATTATTCTAAATATATAGAATAATACTTTAACTCCTCTGAACCTTTGAAAAGTTAAACGTATTATCTAACTGATAAAACTTTTAGAATAAGAAGTCTTCTGGGTTAAAGCCAGGGAGGCCTAGGCAATATTAAGGCGCCCTAGCTATTAAAAGTCACAAGACACGTAGGTAAAATAGGTAAAGTAAAGGTCAAGGAAGGAAAGAAGGCAAAGGGTCTCTGCGTGGCTCTTAATTGGTCGTTATATAGCGCTGGGATCTTCTGGCCAATCATATCAAGTTCCGTAAGCGACGAAAGAACTATTCTAAAGGGAATCTTTCTTAACTATGACAAGTCATCATGAGAATAAGCAAAAGTGATTTAATACATATCGATTATTCTGTGAGCTAAACATATGTGCGTAAAGACACCCCATCTATGCATGTATATACATCAAATCATTATCTCTCTTGACTACCATCTCTCGCTCACCAATCAGCCTCTACTAATATGACAAAAGGAAACAATCCACCCGCTAAAAGCACCGCTGAGAAATGAATGCGCGCGGCCTGAGAAGAAAAGCCCCAGGTGGGAAAGTCGTTGCTGGCAATGAAATCATGAATATATGAAAGAGTGATCGTGGCGTTGTGTTGGTGTGGTGCTTAAATTCCACTGTCATCTTGCTCGAAGATGTTTGTTCTCTCGAACTCTACCCAATTAGCACAGGTGTCTTGGTAGACAGCGGCGTCCGTCATAGTAAGGGCGATTCTGTTCTCGTCCTCGACGAATTGCATGGCGAACCCCTCAGATGCGTGCCATGCGATGTGGCAGTGGAGCAACCAAGTTCCTGGGTTGTCCTTCTTAAAAGCCATTGCCAAATGTCCGTTGGCTGGAAGAGAAGCAACATCTCGGCGAGGGGGGTTGATGAGGTTCACGGCTGCGGCAGCTGCGTCATCGAAGAGACCAACACCTTGGGAAATGATCCAGAAGTCGTGACCGTGAAGGTGGATTGGGTGGGTTATACCGACTATAATATTGTGATTAGCTTTTGTTTCTTTTGCGAGTTTTAATGTCAATAATATTGTGGAATCGTAACTTACAGCCAGTGAGGTCCTCGATAACGTACACAGCCCAGATGTCTGACTCATCGACAGTTCTGAGTGGTTGAACGTTGTACTCGGCAGGCCAAATGCTCTCGTTGTTGAAGACTCTCAAGGTGGTTGGGTTGTCCCAGTTGACGTGAAGACTAGTGCCGTTGAGAGTCCACTTGAAGTGCTCCTCAAAAACGAACCCGAGTTCCTCCTGATCTACAGCAGACGCGTCATAAGCTCCAACATCCATGCGAACGTGAGGAACAAGGTTCGCGACTGGTTCATCACTGCAGATACCTTCTCGGGTGACTGAGGAAGTGGTAGTTGGGTCAGCAGTGCTGCTAGCATCGTATCTTATGATTCCAGTGATATTTGCAGCATTGGCATTGGCACCGCATGCTTGAACTAGACCAGCTCGTAACCAGTAATCGCCTGGAGCAGCGTTGGCAGTGACAATAATATCGTAACGTTGTCCAATGGAAATAGAAATGCTATCGGTTGTGTAGGGAATAATTGGCACCAAATCCATGCCAATGACTTCAAAGCTGTGGCCGTCGATGGAGAATTGGAAGTGAGAATCAAGAGCCGAGTTTAACAATCTGTATCGGTACCTTCTTCCAGGCTCGAAGACGTTGACATTCTTTCTACCGCCTCCAACACAGTTTGGATCGGTGCTGGTGCTGCAGTCGTAAGTGTTTGTGCCGTTAATGACACCGTTCTCCAAAACTGGTGGGACTCCTTGCTTAGCGACATCCCAAAGTTGTGGCAATGGAGTGTGGGACCAATCGGAGAGGAAGAGCAATCCCAAGTCTTCATCATAGTTTGCCGTTGCTGGACCATTGATAATCATAGGGCCGAGTAACCCGTCTCCGTATTGAAGGGTGAAATGGGAGTGATACCATGTAGAACCATATTGAGTAGCTTGGAACCTGTACGTAAGGGTATCTCCGGGAGCGATAGGGCATTGGGTAACACCGGGAACTCCATCATACTCAACCGAGTTGAGTTGACGAAGGCCATGCCAGTGGATAGCAGTACCGTTGTTGGGCATGTTGTTGGTGACATGAATAATGAAATTGTCTCCCCAATCGCCTACGATGGCAGGCCCAGGAATGGTTCCATTGAAAGCAAGAACTTGTCTTGTGTAACCATCGGCACTGAGAGTGATGTTCTCAGCAGTTATCCAGTACTGTGAGGTCAGGTTAGTAAATAGTAGTGCGTTCTTTCCAAGCGAAGAAATGGAAATAGCCGAAGAAAGGCATCTTGGATTCTTACCTCTCGGGTTACTCCAGTGTTGGGGGTGTTATCATGATAATCAGTATCAATGTTGAAACCAGGACTCCAGCAGCCTCTGGAATCTGGACCGTGTTGACAGTCTGGTGCAAGCTGGCGGGTAGCGAGTGTAGAGTCGCGGACCAGGTCCGAAACAAGGGGAATGGCAGATGCCAAAGTGGTGCTGGCCAAAGCCATAAAAGTAACGAATGTGTTCTTCATGATGAAGGAAATTAGGATATTATGAGCTCTTGTCAATTATAGAAGAGACTATTAGAGCGTTAGAGAGGATGATCGAAGAGGATGAAGAGGAAAGTTCAGAGGACATATCGGCCTCCTTATATATCTTCATGTTCCATTTCGACAAAGCTGGACACGGTCCTCGTTCCCGCTGAATCCCTCGTGGATGACCTCTGATTTCCACCTCTGACCAAAACGTGTAAGCTCGGATCCGCAGCTTCGCTCTGAGCTGCAGCAAGGAGTACGCGGACGATACCTGACCGCATGGGGAAAAGTTGATACTTCGTCCCATGTCTAACAAGAGTTGAGTTCGACGGGGATGTGTAGTGGAGTACACGGTGAAAACCCCCGAAATCCCAACCTTTGTTATGCCTGGGACGATGTGAGACCTACCCGTATCCTTTTTCTTCAGCTCGGCGGTAGATTACCGTTCTTTGACGGCCTCCTCAATATGCTTAAAAAGGTGGAGGGGTGGGTGACTCTCAATACCCACTTATCAAAGTTGACATGGTGTTGACCTCGAACACCCCGCAAATATATGGACTCCCTGTACTAGTGCCATAAGCGGTACCGGTAGACTTACATCCAAAAGGAGACGTCGGCGGAAAGTCAGTTGAAAAGGTGTTTTCTTGCGGGAAAGAATATGCCAATAAATTATCTCCCTCATTGTTCTACTTGTTTTGGTATAAGCTAAGTATCGAAGCCAAATATTTGGGTTACTTACTCGAATTACTAAAGTGGATTAGTGATGTAAATTATTCTAATAACTTGAAATAACTAGGAAATATTCTAACAAGTTATTACACTGAGGCCATCTACTGCAACTTTTCTTGCCTAGGAGGCCGTATGCTCGGAGATAACCCCTCACTGAAAATGGACCACGCCACCGCCAACAGTACAACAAACCGTCTGATAGCACGGCAATAAATAAGGTAAGAGCTATTCCCTTTTGAATCAGACGGTTCCTTGGTGATTTATAATCTGACTTAACATGTGGCCACTTTTTACTCTTACTTCGTGCCAGGCGTAACAAACGTGAGAATCCAGTGGGTTGACTTGGAAATTTCCAGTGCAATACGGGGTAAGAAACCCACTAAAATTTAACGTTGATTATGCCCAAGACAAAGTATTTACGAGATGCTGGCATCACGAAAACGCAGTAGATGCAGTAAGTACATCATGATAAAGATATTTATTTACCTGCAGGGATAATGGACAAAACTGCTAAAGGATTCTTTTGTGAAAGAAACTACCCAAACTAGGGAAGCCCGTTTGACAAAAGGAAGAATACCGTTATACACAAAGCTGCTTCTGTAAGATTGAATAATTCTAGAATCCGATGGCTTTGACCCGCTTTTTGTTTTTATTCACATAAGTTATGGATGATATCTTACACGATGTACATACCTCGTGTCCTACGTGAGCGCCTCGATGTGCCATGTACACTACTTCGAATTCGTACATCGTCCCACTTTGCCTATCACCCGTCTGTACTACGCTGTTGTAGGCAAGCTTGCAAATTTAGCCAGGATGAAAACTTAATACCTGGCTGTGAAAAACTCCAAGCATTGTACCTGCATGAGGACCAATTTGGAGGCGGGTAGGATCAATGTTCCCGGGACGAGCCACGCAAAAGCGTAGCTCTCTATATTCCGAAAGCTTGGGATTAAATTCCTTGGCAAATATTCAGGGTGGCACTGAGATGCAGAGCCGCCCGCCGGCTGTCTCTCCGGATTAGGGCTTGCAGTTACAGCTCAGGTCAGCAATAAATGTCAAGTCGCAGAGTGGTGACTTTAACCAGAATTATAGATAAAAATTAACCCATTATATCCAGAGCAAGGCCTATTCGCCTATAAACGACCATATTAACCACAATAAGCTATACGAGAAACAATCCTTTCTCATTGGCCGTCGTTCACTTCGATTCGGAAGGGTATAGAGAAATTGCAAGATAGAATCTTGGGAGTATGTAAGTTGATACGGCGCCGTGAACTGTGCACCAGATATCGATGGGTCAAGAAGTCTACTTACCCGGTCCCTGATTCATTTCAAAAAATGAAGCTCACGATGTCGAGTCTGTAGATTGCGCATGGGGCATCATGACGATGTCGTCCCCCATAACATGGACCGTGCAAATGGGGCTCTTCACGGGTTGTACCATGAGATTAGGGCTTCACTGATTAGTGGTCACGCAGGCCACCGGGTTCCTGAAGTGGCCGCGGTGACTTACGGTAAGGCCCACTTTGCCATGTGGTGTGAGACAGGGTAAACGAGACAAAAATAGGGTTGTCGTCCACCGGCTCCATAATTGCAAGCATCCGGGCAGCTGACGACGACTTGACTGGGTCTACTCGAGTATGTATCCCAGTATGTTGACGACGACAAACCTCCAATGCGAATGACCAATATCGAAAAGGGAGCAGGCGGCGAGACTCTGGCTTTGATGCGGGATGAAAAGGAGATATGAGGTTTCGGCACGCTGGATAGAAATGGAGCTTTGGTCAACAAAATCTTGGAGGTGAGGGGTTGAAGGGGTAGGTAGTACTTCGTAAAACTCAATAAATTACTGCATCCGAGTGGAAGCACTTCGTATGCTCCAATCCATAGAATATTGAACTAAGAGTCAATCCTTGTGTGATCACGCAGATAAGCTAGGTTACCCATCGCATACTTCCTCACGTTTTGCGGCGTCATTTTACCTGGCTATCCTAGGCAGCAATTTTACCAAGCATCAAGCCACTTACACAATAATACTTAGTAATAGAGGGACATCGGTCAGGGTTTTGGTAAGTGTTTCGGGAGCGTCGGCTTATAGTTCAATCCTGTAGTATGGATCATTTAGAAATAATTCTATTATAAGTTTAATTTAAGTTTAATTTTATTTTAAATATAAAATGCAACAGGACCGATCCGTGCCATTCCAAGAGACCCTCGCTGCCGCCGACAAACTTCACAAGCAGTAAGTAACTAATTTGGATACCGGATGATGATCCTTTCCGTTTCTGATATCAGCTTAGAGGCAAGCTCGTACAATTGGGGCTCAGCAACTTTACAGCCTTTGAAGTCGCCGAGGTGGTGATGCATTGCAAGTATAACAATTCGGTTAGTGATTTCGTGCAGAATCGATAGTTTGAAGCATGACCTGTATATTGTTTCTGAAACTTTACAGGTTCGACCCACAATTTACCAAGGCATGTATAATGCTATCACACGTTCTCTTGAACACGAAACTATCCCGGCTTGTCACAGGCTGGTGTTCTCCCAGTCATTTGTGGTTCAATCATGCGAATTGAGACAATGCTATTGCCTCGAACTCTGTATCTCAGTGGGAGATGTCTTAACTGATCCCCCACAGATACGGCCTTGATGTTGTTATCTACAACCCCATCGCTGGGGGACTCTTTTCGGGAAAGTACAAAACTTCGGATATCCCAGAGGAAGGACGCTTTAGCGACAAAACCAAATCCGGAGAAATGTATCGCAAACGCTATTACAAGGATAGCACCTTTGAGGCCCTCAAGTTTATTGAAGAGGCTGTCGAGAAGGCTGGTCTGACCATGATCGAAGTTGCTCTTTGTTGGGTAGCGAACCACTTGGCTCTCAAGATCAAGGATGGCAATGATTGAATTATCATTGGTGTCAGTTCTACTGAGCAACTCGATCAGAACCTCAAGGATGTGAGCGCTTTCCCCCTTGTTACCTATTGGACATGCCATTCTCTCGGTGGTGGATATTCTACCCCTCCTTTCTCCCCTCCTTTCTTCTCCGCGCAAGAGGTACATGCTGATAAATCATCTGTAGTGTGAGAAGGGACCTTTGCCCAAAGAGGTAGTGCAGGCTCTTGACAAGGCATGGTTGATCAGTAAGCCGGACACTCCAAATTACTGGCATCTTGATCTCAAGTACACCTACGATACAAGAAAGGCACTTTTTGAGGTTAAGTAACGTTGCTCCGAAGGGGTCGAAATTTTATATTCGTTGTTCTGAAAATCTAGACAATTAAAGATAATTTTGACCATTTAAAAATTAAAACAACTAAAAAGTTATTCCAAATCTCTATGAGAACTAAAGTAAATAATCCACAAGATCTAGGTAACTAACTTACGTTAATCTAGATAGTTAGACAATAGACAACATACTTTACCTTGTACTGCCGGTTCTGCTACTCGCAGGGTGCTATGGTAGTTGTAGTATACCTAGTTAATAAGTGAAGTTCAATAATGGTTTACTCTTGGCGATGGGACCCGGCACAGACTTTCGTGCCCACACGTCCACGAATCCTTCAATTCTCCACACATGATGACGCCGCAAACATTATTCCCTCGGTGAATGATGTTTCGTCTTAATTCCGAGCCGGACATTGTTGTGACAAAGATGGACTGGACTTTAGAGTTCGTATCGTATGTTTACGAGTACCCCTCGTCCCAGGCATAAAAAACGTTAAATTTTAGTGGGTACACAAGTACAAGGCCTGGGACGAAATACTTCTAGGTCGCAAAGTGCACCCTTCTAGGAGCGTAAGCTAAAGTATTGAATAATCAGGCAGAAACGAAAGCGGTTGCCTTCAGATAAAAAGCCCTAATCGCGTGCCGCTCTCGGTCCAGCATCCGAACATGGTGCGGCTCATCCCAAGGCGTCGATGAGACGGGATGAAAAACCTCCTCAGCTCGCGGAATGATTGAAAATGTCTTTCTTTCTTTTCACCCGTGCGTTTGCTGGGGGGTACCGAAGTAACGGCAGTTCGCTTCGATGGCCAGGAATTGTGTATGCTTCCGTGAGAGGCGTAGCCTCACGTCAGTTTGAGATGGATGAGACCCACGATGTTGACACGAAAACGAGAGATGGGGACTATTGTATTGCATTGACTTGGAAGAGAAAGACGAGGACGGCGGCTAGCTTGGCATTTGAATCCAACGATTGCCCTCCAGGTACTTTGACCTCCCCCAATTCTTTTTACTTTTTTCCAACTTCTTTTGAACTCCGGTCTCCCTCGACTGAATCATTGCTGAATGTCTGTTGACGGATCTTTCCAAGAGCCTACTTCGCCTCCTTTCGTAACACACACCACCGAGTCCGATGTGTCTATTTTTAGGCGAAGCACGTGACGTGTTTCGATGGTCAACACCTCACCTGGAGTCCTGGACTCACCTGCAAGCTGAGGTCCCTGACTCCCTGAGAAAGTCGGGGCATCTCCCGGACTATGGGGCATACAATGACCTCACTGGAGCGTTTGAGCCTCAACTCAATGCATCAATGGTAAGGGACCTGCTTGCATTCGAGTGGTGTACTGTATGAGTAGAATACTTGGTACCGTACTCATACTCGAGTAGAGTAGGACTCTCAGCCTCCAGCCCAGAAATGGCCACCAGCTGCACAGCGCCAGCGCCTGCGCCCAACCTGCGCCACAGGTTGGTGACGGAGGACTCGGGAGTGCTAAGCCAAACCTGGAACGCTCACAGAAGCAGAAGTCAGGTGCACCTGCAGGCAGCAAAAAGATCGCTCCCGATCTGCATCTACAGACGGTCTGCCTTCACCACCAGCACCAGGTAACAAGACACCATTTGTATTCTCATTTCCATCCTCATCCTCGTCTGGGACAATTGGAATTCAGTGAATATATATCAATCACTCGTGTAACACAAGTATTTATTTGGCCGTCGCACTACCCTGTATCTGTACTGTACTGGTTTGCTCACTCTGCAGATGCGGTGGCGCTTATTTCACTCCCATCCGCCCATCACAATCTTCTACCTGTAATTTCCAATCTCGTTTACTCGCAACCCCCGCAACGTCATTTGGGCGACGTCGACGTCCTGGTCCTTGAACTCTTCCACAACAACAACATCATCGCCATCGCGAACCATCAATTGAAATCCATTCAATTATGTCGCAATACCAACAATACGGCGGCAACCCATATAATGGGGGACCCGGCGCAGAAGCTGGCTATGGCCATCAACAGGTACGGACAATCCCCATCCTTTGCGCTTCCCGGAAACCTTCTGCGCTCTTCACGACCAATATCAGGAATGGCTTCAAGAAACCTGGCTAACGCGATATCTTCCTCCGCAGGGTCATCTAGCGCAACCAGGTCTCAATCATGAGATGTCCAATTATTCCGGGGCCTCCGAATACTCGCAAACCGGTGTACCTGCGCATACCTCCCATGTTCTCAACCAGCCAGATTTCCTCTCACGAGTCGATTTTGCCAAGTCCGAGATTCGCAGCTTAGGAAACAACATCCAAGAGATCGCATCCCTTCACCAACGTTCACTCAGCTCGGCGGATAGCAACACCTCGGCAAGGTTGGAGAATCTGGTTACGCAAACACAGTTGAAGAACACGCAGATCCGCGATCAAATCAAGTACCTCGAGGTCGATGCGCTCAAGACGACCGATGGCACCAAGAATGTCAAGACGACGCAGGCGAGGCAGCTGAAGGAGACGTTTCAAAGAGTGCTAAAGGATTACCAACAAGAGGAACTTGGATTCAGACAAAGATATCGCGAGCAGATTGCCCGCCAATATCGAATCGTTAATCCAGATGCGCCTGAATCTGAGGTTCAAGAGGCTTCCAACATGGATTGGGGCTCAGAAGGTGTATTCCAAACAGCTGTAAGTTGCCCATTCACTTCAACTAATTTTACGACAACAACATGCTCACAAGTTACTACAGCTCAAGAGTAATCGCACAGGACAAGCTTCATCCGTCTTGGGAGCCGTTCGAGCCCGTCACAATGAACTCCAACGTATCGAGGCTACCCTCACTGACTTAGCCGACATGTTCGCCGACATGGCGGTAATCGTCGAAGCTCAAGATCCCGTCATCCAACATACCGAGGAAAACGCCATGCAAACCGCCCAAGACGTCGACAAAGGAAATGAGCAGATCGAGCAAGCCAACGCCCACGCTCGACGTCGTAGAAGAAACAAGTGGTGGTGCTTGTTGGTCGTGGTACTCATCATTCTGGCTATCGCTCTTGGTGTTGGATTGGGTGTTTATTTCACCAACAAAAAGCCTTAGATTCCGCACTCACTGTTTTGATCACGAGCTTTTCTGGCCGGGAATTGAATGATGCCATGGGTTTGAGATTGATTTGGATGGAGTTAAGGGTACGGTATAATAATAATTGGAGGCAGCCAGCACTCCTGGGGTTGTTGGTTGTATTCTTTCTACCTAATGCATGAGAACACGAGCAAAAAACATGGGCTTAGAGAGCTTTTAGATATTGCAATCCTGAGATTTCAATACAATGCACAGGCGATCTAACAATCTATGAATTTTCAATGTTTTTTGGTATTTGGAAAATGAACATAAAACGCCGTGCCTAGATGATATATAAAATGAGACCAATCGTACACACTAATCGTAACGCTCGTGGACTTTACCCGTCAATACACCCTCGCCCATTCTCTTCCTTCGCTTGCCAATGACCTCCATCAACCACTCACTCAAAGTGAAGCCCCAGTGAAAAGCAACCATCACACCACTGCACACATTCACAAGTTTCACGGCGAGTCTCAGGAATCCGTCTCGGTATTCATCCACCGTGATGAGCATGGGCTCAATGTCATACTTGAAGAAGATTCCGGGAACGTTGTGGTCGTTGACCTCATGGGATTGCTCCGTGACGGCGTATTGGTTGGTGAAGAGGGATCGGAATCCGAAGGAAGTGGCCTCGGCTGTGTAGATTGTTGGGACGATGGAGAGGAAGTATTGGAATTTGTGGAAGTGGTTTGGGGTGGTGGCGATGGTGCGGTCGAGGGGGTTTTGGAGCGAGGGGTAGAATTGTCCGAATGAGAGTTCGGAGACTATGTGGGAGAAGTTGAAAGCTGTTTTCTCGTAGGTTAGTAAAATTCTCTTTTAATATTACGCCAAAAATAGAGAGAAGTTTCATACCATCATGATCCAAGTGCGCAGCCCCCCATTCCTGGTACCCGTGTCCACGAGCCGTAATATGGAAATCCCCTTGCACTTTGTTGACCTCCAGTTTCCCGTAAACACGACAACTATCATCAACACCCCCCCATAAACGTGGTGTCTTTGCGAACTTCGCCCGCCGACTATTCCCAGCCGACGAAATAATATCATGCACATGCTCCTCCCCAAACCCCTCCTCATGATCATGATAACCCTCGCCCGTATCCACCTTCCCGTTCTCGTCCTTTCCGAGGGCATGCACGCCCTTCGCATCCACCCAATGATTCCAGATCGTCGCATCCCGCTTTAGCATGTCGCCGGCGAGAATGCGATCTCCGGCCGCGTCTTGCACGTTGATGTGGATGTTATCGCATTTCATCGCGACGACCATGTCGAAGTTGATCTGCAAGTCGTGGCCGATGGCTTTCTCCACCGACACGGTGTGGTTCTCGTGGCCCCGCCACCAATGCGAGATCTCGTTGAAGGACAGGAAGGTGCTGACGATGAGCATTGCAACGGTCCATTTTCCGCCGCCGGAGGTGCGTGTTATGTATTGGGGTTTGGATTTTGCTGCGTTTTTCTAATTAGCTTTCTCTTCTTGTTCGTGGGTGTAGGTATGGTGCAATTGAAAGGTAAGGTATGTTTATATGTAAGGATAGGGCGCAGAATCAACATCCGACAGACTTACGAAAAGCATCAAAAGCAGAAACGAGGTTGCCTTTCTCTCCAAAGGCATCCTCGTCCAGCCCGTGATCTGTGAAGCCGTTCATGGTGCTCTATTCCTTTTTTCCTCTTCTCCTGCCAATCTCTCTCCCCTTTTTTCTTCTTCTTCTTCTTCTTCTTCTTCTCGTTTTTATTATGAGGCCGTGGTGGAAGGCAACGTGGAAGTCTTATTAGGTTTTTTTTTGGGAGGAAAGAGGACACCTTACGGAGGACCGCGAGGCTGCACATGCGATGCCCCAGATCCATGCGCCGGCAAGTGGGGCGGACGGGTCAGGTACCTGAGCTTAAGGTGCGGTGCTTTGATTGGTTCGTTTTGGTTGGGGGAACTTGGGGGGTTTTTCGTCTGATGATTTTGTTGGTGAATATGGATTGCTTCAAGGTTGTTTCTGATGGAGGATATATAAATTTGGTGCTTTTCTAGATGGTAAAGTGCTAGTGTCGCAACACGATGGCTTTGGACAAAACATGTCGTGATTTGGTATAATACCAAGTAAATACCAAACTCGTTCCGGCTCTGAACTTATAATTCAAGAAATACTAGGTAATAAACAGAAAGATTATATGCTTACTTTCAGCAGTAAACAAAAATGGCAGTAAAACAAGCTCATTCTATTTACTCACTAGAACAATTAGGGTTCTTCTAAAAACTCAAGAATACTAGAAGTACGTCTCGAGAGCCTACAAATGGCGATTTCTGGTCTACTGAGCGAATAAAAGGGGTGACAGTGTATTTAAGCGAGTGCGAGCAATATTTCTTTGTGAGTTAGGTCCTGCGCTAAACAATTGGTCCGTTATCCGTGGATCCTGGTGTTGTCTATGATTTTATAGTAAGATAAACGTCTTTCCTCGCCTCTAAACTTGAGTAAACTTGATCCTGTAATCCCATCTTGAAACGAAGATTTGTTGTTCTATGTAGAACTACCTGGGTGAGGAAAAGGTGTTCTGTCCCTGGTTTACTGTTGGAACAATCTCATCAGATTCAACCTTCCAGTTCATAGAACGTTGAGGTTCTGTTTGGGGTATATATTTTATTGAGTATCAGAAACTAATTAAGAAATAAAAAAGAGCTGTCCTATCGCATACATTTGAAATTACATTACTACATATGAGAACTCACAAGAGATGAAACCAAACTTAAGCAGTTACCTGCCAAGTCGCATTCTTATCAAGCCTATTCCTGATTTTATAGTTCTTGTCGCTCATCCGCATCTGGACTGTCCAGTGCATATTCGGTTCAGTATCTAGAATGGCTCGGAATCGTCCCAAGTTCATCCTCACAACTTTCTGCCATTGCTCGTCCGACTTCTGTACGCGAACCTTGACAGGCCAGAATTCAAGAACCCACCAGCTTTTGGCTTGCACCAATTGATCGTTGATAGGTGCCATCGCATCAAAGTGATCCTCGGCATGTTCGGGTAACAACCAAAACTTTTCGGATGGGTGCTTTTCATTGTGTTCTGAAGTTGCGTCGAAATATACGTCGTCATCTTTGCTGCTGCTGCCAGTCATACTCTTTTTTCTTTGCTCTGGATCGACACCAAGAGCGGTTGAGCGACGTCGTAGTGAAGGAAGTTCCCCAGCTTCGTACTGCTCTATCATGTTTGGTGATGGACCGACTACTGGTTTTGATGGCTTTTTGTATATCGGCCACACATCTGGGACATCGATCCCTGCCTCTGCTAAAGCAGCCGTACAGAATATGATACCAGTGTTACACTCGAAGCATTGTCTGATCATCCATCGAAGAGGAATGCGGGAGAGCATATGGCGCTCTTCGTTTAATACTGCACCACCCCCAACTGTGGAAATGATAAAGTCAGCTGTGCAATCTATGAGAATTTATCGGGGAATAGGGCAGATACACGGACGGAAGATACATACCATCTGCGTGAGAACCCATAAACCAGACTTCTGAGACATCTGTGGAAACATGGTCATGCACCGCGGTGTCTTTCTTCTCAAACTCCTTCTCCCGTTCCTCCTGTTTGGAACGGGCTGAAGAAGTAGACGAACGACCATCTCTGTCTTCATTTCCTGGCGAACCTGGATTCTTAGGTCCAAAACAAGAACGGAAGACTCCACGAATCTTCCCAATTTGTTTGAGCTTTCCCTCAGCCTCCTTTTTCTCATCATGCCTATGTTTCTTCTCCTTAACCTTCTCCGTTTGCTTGTTCTTTTCAGACTTGACTTTCGCCTTGGGAGTGCGATCCACCGTTTCTTGTTTCTGTACCAAATCTCTGCGTTGCCATTGGCAGATTTTGAACTTTGCTCGATGTTCGTCTAGTGCCATGGCGTGTCGGAAATAATGTACGGAACTAGTTGCGGATTTGCTGAATGGTAGTTTCCTAGGAATGAACCCTACACTTGCTACACAGTCCCAGAGACCGACGAAGTATACTTCGATATTGATGCAGAATGTCTCTTTGAATTCACGACTCATCTTCCAATCTGGCGAGTTATCGTTTTTGTAAAAGTTGTAGGCGAAGGAAACTTGGGCTCCGCTGCGATACGTCAGTATGGTGCTTTTTGGGTTTGAAAAGGAGGTGCCGGAGATATGGGAACTCGTCTTTGACATGACAAAATAAGGTTTTTGGGGGCATTGGGATCATTGCAGAAGAGAAGCGTCTTCCGGCTTCAGTCACGATTTCTCGAAGCCCTAGCACCAACTTCAAAAAATGAAATGATCAAAAGTCACTTACTTATGTGCAGGCAATAGCCCGACCTTATGAATCATTCCAGCCAAGCAACGTACTGTATATGCTCCCCGAGAGAATCCAAGAAGACAGACTTTGTCGCCTTCATTGTAGTTCTGCATAAGGAAGCGATATGCATCTTTGATATGGAATCCCAAACCACTTCCTACTGCCATATCCAAAGAAGCGGTGATCCCATCCTTCAACCCATGGTCGCCGCTGTAGGTGCCAATTCCAGCTTGGTAATAAGTGACTTGATTTGGGTCATCCTTCTTCAAGCATCTCACGAAGTTGACCACGTTGGAATTGTCGTGATCTAAAGGATTTTAGAGTCAGTTTAGTTTTGCTGAGAAATTTCGAGGAATAGAAATGCGGGAATGATTCAGGATTTGAGAGAAAGATTTCGTAATACGATATTGGTCGAAGCATTTAGGTTAAGCTCTACTTATTGACCCCAGTTTTCAGGTCATAGAGACAATCTCTCCGCTCAGGATTCTACCTAAAGAGACTTCAAAGAGAATGAGTACTCACCAAATTGATCACCAGTTCCATCAAGGCAGACGATAATTGTCCGACCTTTTGGTTTGAAATTCTTGGAATCTTGAGCAGCATGGATAGCAAGAGGAATCTCGCCTTGAGGTTCTTCGGGTCTCGGTGATGATGGCATTGCTTCGTGTGAGTTTGTCTCATTGGATGATTGCACAGGATAGGATGGTTTTCTCCAGTGGCCCTCCTGCGTTTTATTAAGGTCGCTCATTGTAACACAATCCAAGTGATGTTGTTGCGTTTTGAGAAATTGTGTAAGGTAGTGTGTAAGGTAGCATGCAACGATACTCAAATATTGTGCTTCGTTTATCTCGAAAGTTCCTAATAGAACCGAGGATGAAAATTTTCCTCAACTCGTACCCGAGCTTGAGTGAGTAAGTCTCCTATCTAGACTCCCGATTGCCGGGCGAGAGGAAAAATAACCCAAGATACTCGGTCCTCGGTTCTCTGAATGAGGTTTCACGGAGATTTATGGGGTACACCGCAACCAGCCAGCTGCAGTATTTCTCCCAAGCCAATGAAGTCATGGTGATGCTAGAGAGGGCTTTTGTGAAACTGACTCAGTTCCAACCAACCAATATCTTTCAGCCACCTCCCTCTCCTCATCGCCGAGTCTGGCGGCTTACAGCGGTGATCCTCGAGGACGCCGTGATAGCAGTTGAGGAGGCTTTCCTTTGAAAGCCGTTGGTGGATTTTCATTTCCGTTGCCTAATATAATCTCAGGAAAATCTAATTGAGAAGGTTAGTGATAGCATGATGTCAACTGAGACTGAGGGGAAAAGCCTCCAAGCTTTACTTTGTGGAAGCTTTACTTTGCAGCTTGCAGCTTGCAGCATAAAATGTAACCTCCTAACGAAAAACGAAAAGCGGCAGTATATAGTTTATCTTCTTAGTCTGTGAGTTGGCATGGATAATGGCTGCGGTTGTCTCGGAACTTGTAGAATAATATCCCTACATGTCTAAGATAATTGTTAAATCGTCGTGAAATTTGGAGTTATGGGAACTGCTTTTCTTGCTGCTTTTGCTCTTGTTCGCGAGACAGCTCGCAACTTGCAAGCCACGAAAACCGGGGTTCAAGGATGTGAGACATAAACCGATCAGATTTTGTGCATATAAATTCGTATGCTTGTCTATCAAATAAATTTCTTTCAGTGCTTTGTTTTTTTACTAGCCGGAGATGGATCCGATCGTTTCCATGGCGAGGAATTAAGGTTATGATCTACAGTAAGGGATCGGAATCGTCCAATTGGCGACGAGGAGAGACACGTGATATAAGGGATTTCTTCTTCTGGCAGAAAGAATCACCTCCACCACAACTTCTTGTACAGCTCGGCTCCGAGATCTCATGACCTCCACCAAGTACTCGTACACACATGCTCTGCGTATTCTGGGCGGGGATGCTAATATCCGATCTGCATGGTGGGTGAACACAACTTTTTTCCTGCAGCACGTCGTGTCCATTGACATCGTGATGGCTCTTCATCGATGAGACACTTCCAATCAAATGAAGATCAAATGTAGTTGAGTAAGCCCGAGTATGTATGCCTTTGTCTCATCTTGCCAGCCCCCGAGTTGCATATCCCATTTCTATCTCTGTGCTCCCCCGCAGGCCGCTGTCATACCATCCCTCGCCATATCCTTTCTCTAAAGCACTCTGAACTTTCTCCCCCAATTGTCTGTTGGCGATATCATCAATTGGAAAGCTCACAATGCCGGGCCAACTCAAATCGTTCTTGGGTACGATGAGGAGGAAGCCTGCGAGTGCTCCAGATGGCAAACATGACGAGCAAGCCGCAGCTACCCCAACGGTCGAAAAGACTTCAGTTGTTCATGATCTCACTCATCTTGACTTCAAAAATGCGAAAACAGTAACAGAAGCTATTACTACAATCGCATCTGGCGAGCCAATGGACGACAAGGAGGTAAGCAGCATCCAATTGATTCTTCTCTGATGATTGGGAGAATGGTTTAGTAGGCTTGTCAGCTAATTCGCCGACAGCTATTACTAGAACATGGAGTCGCAATGCTTCAAAGCTTGCCAGCAAATAGTGGATTAGGAGCCACTGTCGCTGATAATTTCATTGCCATGTTGTGGAATGATCTTCCCCACCCACCTCCAACGACTTCAGGTCCTACTGCTAAATACAGACACCACGATGGAAGCTTTAACAATCCCTGGGTACCTGAAATGGGCAAAGCTGGATCGCCGTATTCTCGCAGTGTTCCTCCCTCTAAACCAAAAGGCCCAAATCTCCCAGACCCAGAACTCGTGTTCGACCAGCTCTTGAAAAGGAAGGGAGCTTTTCGCCCACACCCCTCTGGCTTGAACCGGCTCTTTTTCTCATTTGCGACAGTTGTAATCCACGAGTGTTTCCAGACTTCGCGAACTGATCCGTGGGTCAATGAAACGTCTAGTTACGTGGATCTAAGTACGCTTTACGGAAATACCGAGAAAGAGCAGCAGCGAGTGAGGACTTACAAGAATGGAGAGATATACCCCGACACGATTGCTTCTGAGAGAATAATGATGATGCCTCCTGGAGTCGTTGCTGTTTCACTCCTATTTTCGCGAAACCACAACCATATTGCGGAGAACTTGCTGTCTGTCAATGAAAGTGGGAAATATAAACCTTGGGATAGGCTAAATCCAGAGGAGCAGGCTTGGTAAGCGAGCAGAACATGCGTTTCTTATAAACTTCTCTGATATGTGTGATGTTGCAGGCAAGATAACGACATCTTTCAAATCACCCGAAATATCAACGTTGGCTTCTTCGCTTCCGTCGTGTTGAAAGATTACGTCGCAGCGATTCTCAATACCCCACGAGCCAACTCAACCTGGTCCCTCGACCTTGGTGCTGAAATCAAGCAAAAAGGGAAAAGAGTCGAGCGTGGGATAGGAAACGTTGTTTCCGTTGAGTTTGCTGTTCTCTATCACTGGCATGCTGCTCTCAGTGCGGCTGATGATAAGTGGATGGAAGAGATTTTGAGATCTAGCATTCCGGATCTTAAATCTGTCGACGACGTGGATGTTGATATGTACAAGAAAATCATGAAGGTCCATGGGCATAAATTGATGAACACACCAGCTAGGGAATGGACCTTTGGGGGACTGAAAAGAGGGCCTAATGGAAAATTCAGTGATTTTGACTTGGGCGAACTTATCAAAAATTGCATTGAGGAACCTGCGCATGCTTTTGGGGCACATGGCACTCCGGCAAGTTTGAAAATTGTTGATTTGATGGGTCAGTTGCAAGCCAGGAACGTGTATAATGTCTGCACGATGAATGAGTTAGTTTCATCCTTTCGCTCCTTTACTAATTGATTTGTAGTTCCGCTGACTTTACTCATGCTACAGATTCCGTCGCTACCTCAATTTGAAACCCTACAAAGACTTCGAAGATTGGAACCCGGACAAGGAAACAGCAAGAGCAGCGGAGCTCCTCTATGGGCATATTGAGAACTTGGAGCTATATCCGGGGTTGATGGCTGAGGTCACAAAACCAGCCGTTCCTGGTAGTGGTGTTTGTCCTGGCCACACAACCGGTCGTGGGATTCTCGATGATGCAGTGGCTCTCGTCCGGGGGGATCGTTTCCTTAGTTATGATTTCAACAGCACAACCTTGACCAATTGGGGAGTGTCAAAACTTGCATCATTGCCGGCTGGAGCATATGGGGGTATGCTACCACACCTATTTTTCACTGGGATTCCCGGTGCTTGGAAAGGGACCTCTGCATATGCCCTCCTTCCTTTCTACACGCCCACGGCAGCCAAAGGGATCTTGAAAAAGAACAAAGTGATTCAGAATTACGACTTGGAAAGACCACCCAGTGATATGGCAGTGACAGGTATTTTCACTCACGAAGGCTGCAAGAAAGTCTTCGAGGATCGAGAAAACTTCCGTGTCATGTATCAAGCTGCCATCCGTCACTGTACGAACGATCACGATTTCATGATTGGCTGGGACGATGCTAAGCGACACAAAGAACGGTCCAATATCCTTCATAAAGTCTTCTTCGAAGACGGATTTGAAGCAAACGTTTCCAAGTTCTTCAGAACCAACGTGGCGAACCTTATTAAGAAACACTCTTTGAAATACTCCAATAGCAGCAGAAGATCGATCGATATTGTTCGCGACGTGACCAATGTCACACCGATTCTCTGGCTGGCCGATAGATTCGCAATCCCTTTGAAAACAGCCGAGCGTCCCCGTGGTTTGATTTCAGTACCTGAACTGTTCATGGCGTATCTTGTACTTTTCATGTACCAGAGCTTCAACATCATTCCAGCCAATGAGTGGAAATTGCGTGAGGGAGGGTTGAAAGTGGCACCTGTGTTGAGGAGTATCTTCGAAGCGCATCTCAAGACACAACAAGGTATCAAGGAACACGTTGTTGATTGGCTTGCCAAGGGGAGTGCTTTTGAGGTAGGTCCAGACGCAGACAGGATCTACCACTCGCTTAACAACACCAAACTCCCCATTGGTGATTTGATAGGCGACTGTATCGGTATGGGAGCACCGGTAGCGGGTAACTTGACTCAACAAGCCTCTCTCCTTATTGACCTTTTCCTAAGCGAGGGATATGAACAATATAAAGCACGCATCATCGAACTGGCCAACATGCCCGAGGAGCAATCAGAGAAAGAACTAATCGGATACGTCTACGAGGGAATGCGCCATGCTGGTGTCGTCCCCGGCCTACCACGCGTTGCTTCAAAGGACGTGACCATCATCGATGGCGCCAGAGGCCCAATCCATATCAAGGCAGGCCACACAATCCTCATCGCCACATCCAAAGCAGCCATGGATCCTCTAGCCTTCTCCAATCCCGAGAAGTTGAATCCTCATCGTCCACTTTCGGATTACATCCTCCTTGGTCACGGGTTACACTTCTGTTTTGGAGCGAGACTGGTTGGGTGCTCGCTCGCTGCGACTTTGAGAGAAGTCTTCAAGTTGAAGAATATCAGGAGGGCTCCGGGACCACAGGGCCACTTTTCGATCCTTGAACATGAGTTTGCGGGGGTCAAGATGAAGGTTTATTTGGATGGGAATGCGAAGGAGTCGCCGATTCCGACGACGCTAACGGTCGAGTATGATGAGTGAGTTGGGTAATTAATGTGTAGTTGAGCAGTATTTTTTATCTTAGTAGGAATTCTCTCTTATCTTTGTCGGGAAAATTGAATAATGTTTTATCCTACTGCTGGTCTGAGTCGCTGTCTTGTAATAAGGTTGAATTGCCAACCCAATTCTATCTAGGTGTTAGTTAGCGTCCTGGGACTATCTCAAAACTCAGGAGTAATCAAAATCATCCCCAATACGCTCGCTCAAACACGCATAATCTCTATCAAAACACCTCAAGTCATTGATATGCCCATTGATTGTCACGTGACATATCCCAAGTCAAACTCATACTCAAGACCCTGGGAATCTGCATGAATTTTCCCGTCCGCTTGTCTCAAAACTCCCAAACGACAAACGAAAGCACGAGGAACGAGAAACGAACAATTGCGACGAAAGACAAACAACAAGAGTTACCACTTCAGGTAACCCAAAAAAATAATTGTTGCTCATCGCACCCCCTCGTTCTTCGCTCGTCGAGTTTTTGGAGACGCATACGGGAACGGAGAATCACGGAGAAACCCTTTTGAGACATTCCAGCCAATTCTTGGGTAATAATGCCCATCAGAGCGAGCGAGGAACGAGGTGCTGCGATGAGCAACGAATGGTTGAATGCGGTAATTTATTATTTTGATACTTGGTATAATACTTTGCATTAGCATTGCCAGTTGTATTGGTAAGTAAAGCAAGCGAAGTCTCCTCCCGGAACGGGAGCGGATGGGAATTTTTTCAAGACATTTTGAAACTTGGAGACTCGAGCAAGTGAAGAACAAGGGAGTGCGATGAGCGACGAAATATCTAACTATTGCCTAAAATGGTAATGCATTATTGAGAAGGAAACTTAGAGACGCGAGACTAGAGGAGCGAGTGAGGAACGAGAGAGTGCGATGAGCGACGAAATATCTAACTATTGCCTAAAATGGTAATGCATTATTGAGAAGGAAACTTAGAGACGCGAGACTAGAGGAGCGAGTGAGGAACGAGAGAGTGCGATGAGCGACGTAATATCTAATTATTGCCTAAAATGGTAATGCATTACTGAGAAGGGAATTCGGAGAATTATCTGATGATCACAAGAATATGTAAGCGGATTTTCATTATCCTGAATACATCTGGGTTAGAGTAACAATTATAAAAGTCTGCACAACTAAATGCAAGAGATCTTTACTAGTCTAAGTTGTTTAGGACAATTGAGTTGATTATAGAAGGAGTTCTAGAATAATGGGTTCTGAGGTAATAAACAAGTCTCTTAGAATGAGAAAATCACACGCCGATTTTGTTCTAAATGTTGGATAACTGTAGCTTTTGCTGAGCCAAGTGTAAGAGAGTAAATCTTGGACTTGGATTGTCTTAGCGAACGATATTTCTATTAATTTATTACGACTAAGTAAATAGTAGGTAAGTGAGGTAATTTACATATTAAACCATGAGTTATCTACATCAGATATGAAATTGTGTTATCACTTGGTCTGTTCTAAACTCCCTGGTATTTTCCTCTCATTTTTGCGATTTTCCTACGTGAATGTATTTGAGGTTACAGGTTCGCTACGAGCTCTCCAGCTCGGCACCCACCTCGACGCGTCAACCCGCGCGTCTCCCCATCCCATCCATTTCAACCCTCCCAAACCCCTCATCAACAAAACCCCCCATCTCCCACACAACACCAAACCACCACCAAAACAAAAAAAATGCCACGCCAACCCCCACCCCCCAGCATCCCCCACCTCAAAACCACCTTCCTCCGCACCCAAATAACCACCCTCTCCACGCCCCTCCGGCCCTCCCCCACCTTCCTCACCAACAACACCACCAAAGAC